GGAGGAGGGCCTCGCGCCTCTGCCAGGCTTGCCGCGGGGCCCGCCCCCTCCGCGCCTCTCCTCGGCCCCCATTGGCTAGGGCCGTAGCGTGCCCGAAAGCCTGGTGGTCGATTGGCCGCTCGGACCGTCACATCCCGCCACCTAGAGTTTGGTTGAGACTGCAGGTGGCGGTGGAGGAGCCTTAGAGACGGCTAGCGCGGCTGGGGAGACCTGGGCGCCACCGTGCGTCCGAAAGTAGAAACGACACCTTCGGAGCCAGACACCTGCCGGCAGGTTCTGCTCACGGTGTCCTGCATCCCACACACCTGCTGGCGCCCCCAACACTGCACCACGCGGGGACCCAACGCCAGGCGCTGCGGTTTCCCAAATTCCTCCGGCAGCTGCAGCAGTGAGGCAACGCTTCAAAACGAGCTTCATTTTGAACCACCTCGTATGCGGCCCCGGTCTCTACATCTGCGATTTTTAATCCGCGCGTCCCAAGAATTTTTAAAACATGCCAGTACCTCACTAGTCAATCATTTCCCTTAGACTGTCAAATAAAAAAATGCCAACAGCTAACACAATAGCCCTCCAGTGTGAATGAATAAAAATTATACTTTTTTTTTTTGTCAGATCGGCAAAAGATATACTTTCTGGTGTGCCACAGAATTTTAGTAATTAGTTTGTGTACGAGATGAAAAAGGTTGAAAATCACTGCTCTAGATCATGGTGAATGAAATGTCCTCACAGCTCCCAGATACCCTTCATAGAGGACCCAGCCAGAAAACTCAACCTACCATACAAAGCGTGGTTTAGATGAACTCAGCCCTCTACAGGATCACAAGCTCGGGTGCAGACTTCCAGTAGAGCAAGAGTTTGTGTGTGTTTTTTAATTGCCACGGAGGAGCAACACTGCAAACAACTGATGCCATGACTAAAAACAATGTGTTCCATTTTCAAAGGCCTAAATAGGTCCCTGAGTGTATGCTAACCATCCTATCATATCACGGATGATTTTGAGTTCACCAGTTAAAATAAATTTCACTTGTTGAAATTTTTGTTGTTGACAGGCTACTAGCACATAAGCCCAATGTTACCTTTACAAGGCCATCGTTGAATATAAGACATAGCTCATTAATGTATAAAATTCTTCCTTGAAGGTAGTATCCCCTTCAGCCTCTCTAGATTCCTTGTGTACACTTTTTCCTAAACAACTTCCATTTTATTAGAAGACATTTTTATGCGAGACAGCCTAGAATGGTACATACCAACAGGTCGAAGACAAATCTCTCACTGATCTTCACAAATGGCAAAAACAAGGATGCTACAGTTTTCACAAAACCAAATTTATGGCTGCACTTATGCAGATATGGCTCTTTTTACATCTGTGATGTTAAAAATGACCTTCCTTCCATGAAATGATAGTAAATTGTAGAGATTTTTTAAATGGCTATGAGCTATGACAAGGAAAAAATGTCAAACATCTGTTGGTCCCCCAAATTAGTATTTTATGTAACCCCAAAATCACAGAACCACAACCACAATTCCAACCAACAGTATCCACTGTAATATTACCGAACCAGAAAGGGTAAAGAACCCCAGAATGTCAGACAAGACTGGAGGAGGTGGAGTTGTTTTGGTGGGGAAGATCATCTAATGTCGAAATATTACCTTTCTTTACAAATGATTAAAATCCTCTGCCTGGTTTTCAAAGTGTTTCATAATTGGCCGCCTGTCTGATAAATGGTAAATATTAGAGCTTCAGCTATTCCTTTCTTATGCCTTCCCAAGAAGTACCCTCAAGTCGTATCTTTGTGTCATGTCCCAGTTCTAGCAATCTCTGCCTCTGTGATTTTACTGTGTAAGAATGCACATCCCATCATTCCAGTCTACATTTAATTCATACTTCCTCTTTTAAGCCTTTCCCAATTACTCCATCCTACAGCAAACATTTCCTTCTCCAAACTTGTTGCACTAACATAAGCTTTACTAGGTCAGCAATTACATATTGCCTTGGGTTATTCTTACTTCCCAGCTACAATGATTTGGGGTAAATGGTATATTAGCACGTTCTCAATAAACAGTCGCTTTGGGCCAAGGACTGGGTGCTTTATGAGTGCTATTTTTAACCATTATCAAGTCTGTATGGTATTCTCTTATTTTAGACACAGAATTTCAAAATTCAGAAAACCCAATTTGCTCAGGGTCACACAGCTACAATAGCCACTATTGCTTAAAATTGCTGTAAGAGGGCTTAAGATGTACTCTGGTATGTCCTACAGGGGTTCAAGTTCCAGCTCTCCTGTGCAGCCCTGGGCAAGTTACCCTTCCTCTTTAAGCCTGTGTCCTCATTTGAAGAAGAAGAAAAAAGGTAATAGTCATAGAGCCATAGTAAGGGTACCACAAAATAGGGCATCACGGCATTTAGCTAAGTGTGCTCAACACAGGTTAGCTGCCTGGCATGGCTGGGATTTTGACCTAGACCTGATCACAAAGCCTACAATCTTTCCACTATTCCATAATGCCCCTGTGCAATCTTTTCTAGCCCATTCCCATTTACACACAAAAGCAGGTTGCTCAGAACAGTGGGTGCCCAGGGATTAAGTGGAATAAACTTACATAATGTTGTTAACACACACACAAAAATCTTCATTAATTTCATGCATTTTTGAATCAAGAAAACATTTGAATGATCCAAACCAGGAGAAGCATACTCTCATGAGGGTAAGAAAGTCACATACTCACCAACTGACTGACAAGGAAATAGAAAACTAATAATAGGGGACTAAGGAACCAAACTTCCCCAAGCATCCACTGTTTGGCATACTAGGGGACTTTCCAAATGCTTCTTTCTGGTGTTTTTCTACTGTATATTTTCTTAGCATTATTGCACACTGTAAATATACAACTGAAATAGTTGTGACAATCTCATGAAGCCTGGTTCTGGCCACCAGACCCAGGACGTAACAATGGATAATGCATTTAAAGAATGGAACAGTTAGCCCAGAGTCAAATACGGAACAAGAAAGTTTCACTTCTGTTTACTAGTCAAGCAACCAAGTGAAGGAATAAGCATTTTTTAATTTAAATTGTGTTATATAAAATGCTAACTTCTTGTTGGGACATACTACAGACTATGCATTCGATAAAATTTCTGACAAACTTCCTATAATGTTTTTATTAATTTACACTGAGAGAATATAGCACCCTTCATCCAAAGAACTGAAGGTGCTTTACAAACATTAGCAATTAAAAAACAATTACATTTAAAAATCTGGATTCTTGCTGTTAAATCACTTCAACTCCAGGTACACAATTTTCTGGAGGCTGATGAAAAGCAATTCTATTTCCCACAATGAAAGGCTCAGAAAGAGTTCAGATTTGCTTTCACAATACAGGCATTTTCCAAAACCTGGTGCTGGGCTTACAAAGCAAAAACACACAAATCGTAATGCAATGAACAGTATTTCAAACCTTATTCAAAAGCAAAACCCAGGATTTAAGACGTTAAAATCTTCCAACAGTTCTAGACATCCAGATGGAGTAGGAGCTGATGCAGGTCACATATTAGGTATGCTCTTGATCCAGGCTTTTTAGGATCACACCCAAATTAACACATTTAAAGTGGTGATATATTTCAGGAAAAAGCATTAACCTATAAAAAGCTGGCCAAGAGTATATCAGGCAAGTAAGGAAAGGGAGTGACTGGCAATTAAAAGTAGACAGTTCTCACTAGAGCCTAGGACAATTTATTAGAAACCAAGTATATAATAGGCAAATAAAAATAGTTATTACCCCCATTAATACAATATAAGGGACTTTACATTCAGCCTAGATACAGGGAGTAACAGATCCTCCTGCCTGCAAACCTATGACTTACAAGTATCTTCCACCATATGATTACTCTATATAGTACATAGCCCTTATTTAGTAGAGGAATCCAAATATTCCTTTTAGGCTTTCAAAGTCCAATACATTCACTCTCTCTTCCTTTTACATGTCTAATAGTAAAAACCTTTTTTTTTCCATGCAAAAAGCCGATATTCAGTTGAAGAGAAAAAACTCAGGCAGAACAGAGATGGCAGTTAAGGAATGGACAGAATATTATTGGCACATGCCCAACTAGTGACAGACAAACGCAGTATACCATAACTCAAAAATAAAAGTCACATTACAGGGATAACTAAACAACGACATCAATCTAAACTAGAGGGTGTCAAATGGGAAGGGAGGGCTCAGGGTTGCTGGTTTCACTGGCACAACTTAAAAGCAGAGGAGATCAAGCACTTCAATACAACTTATGGTAACAGGAAAAAAATACTGCAGAGAGCTGTTTAAAGACCGCATCAAGTTGTCTGCATCATTAATTTCCAGTGTTTAACAATTAGTAAAATACATAGCTACATATCCCTGTAAGATTAATACCTTTCCCCCTGAATTACACTGGGGTCAGGGCAATGACACAAAGCTACTGACCCAACAGTTCAAGTGTGTGCAGCAAATGTCTTAGCCACTTCTTTCATACAGCTATACAATTAAAAACTACACAAGTAGCTAGGTGGCTGGAGGGGAAAAATCAAAACAGTGTTGTGCTCATTTAATAAAAGAAAACCCTGATGAAAAATTATGTGCCAAGAAGTGTAGACTATAAAGATTTTTATTGCATTTTTAGGTAACCTGGAAATTCTTATCCTGAAAGGGAAAAGTTGGTTTTCAAAACTACCTGAACAAATGCTAAAGTGCTTTATTATTGGCTGGCTTCACAAAGATTTCCTGGAATGACAAAAATTAACTATAGTAGTAAAAGGATACCAACTATTTCACCAAATGGTAAATTCCAACATCACTTATGACCATAGTCATAAGAGACACTGGAACACTTGTCCTTATTAAGTGGACATTGCATATCAAGAACTGATCATCACAACCCTTTGGATATTCAAATTACTTACACAAAGCTGAAACATGGTGTCACAGACCTTTACAAAAAAGGACAATTGTTTCTTTCCACACTTTTTAAAACCTGCTTCTGATTACAGTTCACAAATACAAGAGTCCTGACTTTTCAACCTTTCCAGTTGCAGTTAAAAAATGAACACTTTCTAAAAGTTAAGGTCAAGTGTTACAGCAAGAAAATGATTCCTATTGAAAAGTTACATAGATTTTACTTAATGATACTCATGATAGATTGTAAACTGGATTGATCACATTCTACTCAACTGGTATCAAATGAACATATCAGCATTACAAGTATTAAATGTTTTTCTATTACTATAGAGGATAGAAACCAAAACATTAATATGGCAGTTATGTTCTTAGGCACAGTTTAGTGATTTTTTTTTTCCTTAAATAAATAATATTGAATTTCAGTTGAAGTTTTAAACTCAATAACCAAAGGGTCAAGAACTCTGACTAGGAAAAAAGAAAAAAAAGTAACTTTAAGCTAACAATGTAAGCTGTTTAAAATTTCTAACACTTCAACCTATCTGGATTTAAGATTATTTTATTTAAAAATACAAGGAATCTGAAAAAAGATCAAAACAATTATCTTAATGTACAAAGTCATAAGCTGTAGCAGTTTTTAACTCAAATTTAAAAACACAACAAGGAGGGCAGCCCTTTAGACCAATTTATTTTATATCCATTTAAAATATCATCCAACAAAGGACAATGAAGTTTACAGCTGGAACAAGTGTACATAACTCGAGGCATCTGCAGTCCATCGTGCCCACTGAATAACAACTTTGCTGCTGAAATTTCTTAAAACTTACCAAACTAAAACAAAAGGCTGAATGATACAAAAGGAGGAGTATTTCAGTGTAGTCTGTTCTCTCAATTAGCTTTTTAAAAAAGGAAACACATCTTGTTTCCCCCAGACCAGTAAATAAGCAAGAGCTACATGCAGAAGTATGAGTATTAAGACATCTCTCAAGTCTTCTCAGATGAGTCCAAGGTGGGGATGGGATGGGGGGAAAACTGATAGTAAAACATTGTTATAGACACCATAACAAACAATAAATTTAGATAATTTAAAATAAAAAAAGGCAAGAGGCAGCATTTCAGCAGCAAAGTGCTCAATAAAAAGTATATTATAGAGGGTAATACACGAAAGTTGGGGTAAGAAGAGGGCAGAAAAATGTGACCGGTCAGCAGGATGGGCGAAGGCCTCAAAGGAAATACGGCGTCGTTGTTCTAGGAGGAATAACACGTTCTGAATCTGGAACTGCCCGGAATAACTTTGGTTCTCTTGTATTTACATCTTTGAAGACCATTATCGAAGCAATATTTCCACAACGATAGCAGTAATTAGGAGCAGACCATACTGTTACCAGCTTCTCGTCAAACATAAACTTATAGCCTTCATGCACTAGTTGGTGTGCTCTGCAGATGAGTTTTAAGTTGTTGATATGAACAAACTGCAATTTAGAAAGGTTCTGTTAAGTATACAGCATATTTTTTAAAAATATCAACCCACATACATAAAAAAATTAACATTTAAATAAAGTATAAATCCTATTACTAAATACAGTTCTCATGATTACAAAACCCATTCTACAGTTACCCCCAATAATTTCAGTAAGTTATAGGTTATAGAGTCACTTTGGCCCGAGTCTATTAAAGAGTTTAGAAATCATGCAGTCACATAACTGGAAGTTTCTGGAAGAAAAGCATACTACAAATACTATCAGATATGAAACAAAGATTTTACTGTTTAATAATAAACACATTGCTACCATATCTATCATTTACTGAGGGTTTAGTACAGTTCTTACAAAAACTCTGAGACATCATTTTTCAGTGTAAGGGAACAGGGATTCAGACAGGCTAAGTAACAAGTTATTTTGAAGCGAACTCTCTATTCCATGCTGGGTTACTTCCTGATGTAGCTCCTCTCTCTCTCTCTCTCTCTCTCTCTCTCTCTCTCTCTCTGTGTGTGTGTGTAAAGAGCTGAACTTCAAAAAGTTATCTTGCATAATATATACACATATCAAGTCATTATGTTGTACACCTACTAAAACTAATACAATGTTGCTGGGCCAAGTGTGGCCCAGCAGTTGAGCATAGACCTGGGATCCAGGAGATCAAGGTTTGATTCCCAGTCAGGGCACATGCCTGGGATGCAGGCTCGATCCCCAGCAGGGGGTCGTGCAGGAGGCAGCTGATCAGTGACAACTCCTCATCATTGAGGTTTCTCTCTCTCTAAGAAAAAAACACACAAAAAACTAATACAATGTTAAATGTCAACTGTATCTCAACTAAAAATATAAATATTAAAAGTATATATTTTTTAAATTGCCTATCTTGCTCTTCCTTAATCTCATTACTTAATTGCAATATTTGAAAGAAAAGAACATTTATTTTACATATATTACCAAGTAGATGCTGAAGGAGGTGCTTTCATTATGTCGCCTCCTCTAATTATTATGGAAATAAACATGATAACCTAGATGAGAAATTTTATATCCATAAGCACCATAGTGTGAGAAAGCTAGACGAGATAACTTTGTTACCTACATCCACCACAGGTCTTTCCTTAGTCCATTAGCAACCAAAAAACCACTTTTCTGAAAATGCTGACTTTACCTCATTTGTGACCTTTGCGCCAAAAAGCCAACCTGCTCCTCGGGGACTGATAGCCCAAGTATCCACGTCTTCAGGGTCTGACCAAACCAGATCACAAAATGCTCCTTTATGAGGAATTTCCTGATTCCGTTCAATGGTTCGAATTTGATCCAGTGTTTTGATATCAGGAGATAAACCACCATGAACACACAAAATCTGCTCATCTATTAACTAACAAAAAAAGATAACAGAGTTGAACATATAATAACACACTCAGTCATATATAAACCCATCCGTGAGTCCTAATAATATCAATATAACTAAGATGGCAATTAAATAAAAATATGCAAAGTGATATCGACAAGAAAATACTTTGAAGTTCTAAAAAGATTTATATAAACTTACAGCTGCTACTGTGAGCATGTCGAAAACTTTGGTACAGTATCTCCAGGCATTAGCATTTCCATATTTGGTTTGGCACTCATCTATGAAAGAAACAGGAGAGTTCTCAGTAATGAAGTACTGAGTCTGCCAATAAAAATAAAGAATACAGCCCTAGCCAAGTAGCTCAGTTGGTTAGAGCATCCTCCCAATAGGCCAAGGTTGTGAGTTTGATTCCAGGTCAGAAGCGCAACCACTGAATGCATAAATAAGTGAAACAAATCGATGTTTCTCTCCCATGCTCTCTCTCTCTCTAAATCAATTTAAAAAAATTTAGTAAACAACAGAAAAAGCATCAAATACTGAGACAATAGGAATTCAGCTTAAACTAGTAAGAGAGTTGTTTATCTTTATAAAGGCAGAAGATAATTCAAAATATAAAATCTGAAACTAAAGGGCTATAAACTTATTTGCAAATCTCTCAATATCTGCTTTGTGCTCAAGGAAAAATTCATATTAATAATCTCAACAATTCTTCTGTCTACCTCCTTCAAAGAACTTCTTAACTTTTATTAAAACTTTCAATCATATAAAAATTTCATAAAAGCAGCTATTTTGCTTTTAGATAATTTTTAAAAATATCTTTTTTATTGATTTTAGAGGAAGAGAAAAGGAGGGAGAGAGAGAGCAGCACTGATCGGCTGCCTCCTCAAGCCCCCTGTTGGGGATCAAGCCCACCTGAGCACGTGCCCTGCCTAGGAATTCAACCAGCTGTCTTTTTGGTGCCCGGGACGATGCTCAACCAACTGGGCCACACCAGCCAGGGCAGCAGCTATTTGTTTTTAATGGCTGAGTTCTGCTCCTAATTCCTGAGGTGCTGGGGTTCTCTGAAGCAAGCACGCAGATTTATGTATATAATTTAATATATATGTAAAAGGATATTTATATATCCTTGGGATATTGTGTGTGTGTGTGTGTGTGTGTGTGTGTGTGTGTGTGTAAAAGGATATTCATTCAGCTATGTATATACCAGCAACTTAAAAATAACTCCAACATTCAATGTTAAAGGGACTGGTTAAATCAATTATAGGAAAATCATAGACTACAATGCAGCTATAAAAATAACATTAATGAAGTAAAAAGGCAGGTCACAATATTAAATGAAAAAAGCAGGTGTGATCCCATTTTAGTGTGGTATGTATGCACACACACGTATGTATACAACGTACACACGCACACAAATATGTACATAGGTATAGAAGAGACTCTCAAACTTGAGTGTGCAGAACATTCACCTTTAGTAAATTCAAGGGTCCCACTCCAAAATATCTGCTGGGGGAGGCAAAAATCTGCATTTTTAACAAGCACCCAGATGATTCCAAAGAGGTAAACTGAGGACTACACTTTGAGGCACTGATCTAGGAAAATGTACACCAAAAACTTAAGAATGATTTTCTCTCCATGGTAAGATTTTCCATTGATTGGGGGAAGAGAGAAAGAAAGTTAAAGGGTGAGAAAGTGGAAAAAGATTCTCTGTATTTTCAAATTTTACTATAAAGCACATGCATGACTTGTGTGGTTTTTTCCCCCCCAAAGAGGAAAGTAAAACAATGTTCAGAGTCAGAGAAACAGAGGTCTTACCATAAAATCCATACACCTGTGTTATCTGTCTACTCTCATGATTTCCTCGCAAAAGCGTAATACGATCAGGCCATTTAGCCTTTAGTGCAAGAAGGTAAGTGAAGGTCTCCAAACTATAGTAACCTCTGTCTACAAAATCGCCCTGTAATGTAAAAGTTTACAGTTACAAACAGTACAATAGCAACAATATTTTTAAGAAGTTATTGCAAAGTGCACAAATTCAGAGACATAGCCCAAAAAAACAACAATGAAGAGTTACACATTACATTATTTGGAAACAGTTTTAACAAAAACTTCAAATGGAAGCAAACAGGTTGTCTTTACTAAGTATTTGTGCTAGTCTATGATTCAAGAGACCTACAGGCGCCTGCAGTACAATTCTCTCAATGATTTTCCCGGGAAAACCACCATTTTTTTCAATTCTTATTATCCACAGTATCAGATGTTTCAAAAAGATCATGTGAATCAACACTTTTAAATAAATTTCAAATAACTTTAACTGTATCAAAAGAGCTGCCAACCTGAAGAAAATAGTGTTTTGTTTTTGTAAAAGCAAATACCATAATTAAAACAGTGTTTGATGTTCAGTTCTGTATTTAACAATGGCACATGATGACATGCTATTTACACTTCAATTAACATTTTACTTGGGGCAATAGTAAACCAATAGGAAAACAGCTAAAAGAATAATAGAAAAATGACCCAGAAACTTTCAGAAGGAAGGAACATGACATAAGGATTCAGAAAAAGTAAAGCAGTAACATTACGTTCTGGAAGAAAAGTTAAGTAAATATGCATCTTCATAGCAAATGTGTATGTGTGCATTTTCATCAATTCACAGATTAATAACAGATAAAAATGAGTGCTCAAAATTTTGGTAAAACAACAATAAATTCAAGATTTATGCCTTAAACCAGAGGTTCTAAGATATTTTTTGCCCAACCATTACTGAGGGCTACAACCCAGTCCTATGTATACATCAGTTTACTAAAGCAACTATTCTCAACTAGAGGGCACAGAACAATGTAGAAAAGTGCAGAATCACCTTTTCAGATACTTAAATAAAATTGTTATGTAATTTATATGTAGTAAGACAGATCTTTCCCTTTTTTAATAAGTTCTTGATGTCACTGGTGTTTACATACCATAAATATGTAGTTTGTGTCAGGAACCTGACCTCCAGTTCTGAATAGTTCACAAAGGTCATAAAACTATAAAAGAAAGGCAATACATGTTGGTTACAAATTCCTATAATGGTGTAAAATAATAAAACTGAGAGCAAATGTGTAAAGAAGCAGTTAATTAAGTGGACTTCAAATACTGACATTAATAAAAAGAAAAAAAGTGTAAGCAAAGTTGACAAGCACACAGCTCCCAAGCCTAAAAAAAATAATAATAAAGCATTAAAATAAAGCTCAGTTACCATTAAAGTCATTCTTAGATCATTAATGTTATTAGCCTCACTCTCAAATTTCTTTCATACATCTCCTCATCTATCACTTGAGAATATTAAGTCATTTATCAGTTACCTAACTTGCCAAAAAGCTAACCTAACCATCCTGTCACATATTCAGCATCTATTTCAATGACATAAAAGATAAGGAAACAAGTGGGTAAAAATTTCTTTCAAAGGATAAACTTACAAGACAAAGAACAGATCAACCTACCTTTCTACACTCTACTGTTGATGTGTACCCACAGGATCCATGATGTGGACTGTCTTCTCGATAATTAGTAAAAAAGAACTGTATATTTCACCATATTCTATTTGTCTAAAAATTGGTAAATGACAAATTGCACATTTGGTAACTTCAGTCAACTAGATTACCCTAATCTAATTCTTAAAGAAAACTTCAGTTTTTCTGAAAAAAGATTTTGGATCAAAGGAATTGACTGTCATAAATTATACCTACTACAACTAATAACTTTCTACACATTTATCTTTAACACTTGAAAATAAAATTATACTTAAATTTCTAATACTTAAAACAATACAGAAATCTTAGTAACAGTGAACAAAACTGAAATTTAAATGTTAAATACCGAAAGCACTCCCCCTTATAACTGTTTCATAAGTCTAAAGCAGCAATTTTCAACCTTTTTCATCTCATGGCACACATAAACGAATTACTAAAATTCTGCTGCACACCAAAAAATATATTTTTGGCCAATCTGACAAAACAAATAATAATTTTGATTAATTCACACCAGACAGCTACTGTGTTGGCTGTTGTCATTTATTTTTTATTTATTTGTTTATTTATTTTAACTTGATTTTAGAAAGAGAGAAACATCGATGTGGGAGAAAAACATAGATTGGTTGCCTCTCGTATGTGCCCCAACTGGGGACCAAACCAGCAACATGTGCCCTGACCAGGAATCAAACTGGCAACCTTTCGATGCACAGTACAATACTCAACCAACTGAGCCACACGAGCAAGGGCTGTCATTTTTATATTTGACAATCTAAGGGAAAAGAGGTGAGGGTCAGTACCTCTAACTAGTCGGGAATTGCATGTTTTAAAAATTCTTACAGCACACCAGTTGAAAATAGCTGGTTTAAAGAGTTATTACTGCTCACCGGTGTGGCTCAGCGGATGAACATCGACCTATGATCCAGGAGATTGCAGTTAGATTCCCGGTCAGGGCACATGCTCAGGTTGCAGGCTCTATCCTCAGCAGGGGACATATAGGTGGCAGCCGATCAATGACTCTCTCTCATCATTACTGTTTCTATCTCTCTCCCTCTCCCTTCCTCTCTTTGAAATCAATAAAAACATATTTTTTTAAAAAGAGTTATTACTTGCTTAAACAAAACCTTAGAAAGTTTAAAATAAAATTTTCCTCTCTTCTTAAAATTAGCAAACTAATAAGTGAAACAAATGTTTAATCTTAGTCAAGTGGTAGACTATTATTTTTTCAAAATATTTGCTGTCCATTTCTATTATGTGGAGTCTCTCCCTTTGAAAGGAGTATATTTCCTACCCCACAGATGTATATATGTGTGAATGTCATCTCTTATATATTTTTATATTTATATATATACACAAACACAGCATGAACAGTAAAAAATATCTACATATACACACACTCTTGTATACATATACATGTACGTGTGTATGTATGCATATAACTGGCCCAGTAATTCTACTTCTTTGACTATATCCTAAAAGCAAAAAAAATAAAATAAAATGTTATATAAATATATAGAAAATGTGTTACAATAGCATTCAGAATAACAAAAGAAAAAAAGCTTCATGACTAACATTAGGAAATATTTTAATAAAGTATGATCTCCTGCCCTGGCTGGTGTGGCTCAGTTGGTTGGAGGATCATCCTGTGCACCAGAAAAGTGGAGGGTATGATTCCCGGTCAGGGCACATATTCAGGTTGTGAATTTGATCTCTCAGTCGGGGTTCATACGAGAGGCAACAGATCCATGTTTCTCTCTCACATCGATGTTTCTCTCTCTCTCTCTCTCTCCCCACCCTTCTCTCTATAATCAATAAAAATAAATAAATAAGGTATGACCTCCCAACTCAAGGACTTGGACCTTATGTGGTTGTGAATAATGATTATAATGCAAACTATACAGCAAATTAGAAAAATGATTAGGGAAAAGAATGGAATACAAAACTATACCTATACTGTAACTACACAATTTTACTATGTAAAAAGTATGTATACACACAAAGTCAAGAAGGGAACATTAAAAAGTTTTATAAAACAATTGCTTTCATAAAAGTGTGGTAGAAGAACGGTTGAGCCTAAACTTTTCTACTGATATAGAAATATGTTCTGCTTTAAATATGTTTTTACTGATTTTAGAGAGAGAAAGGGAGAGGGAGAAAGATGAGAAACATTGATCGGCTGCCTTCTGCACGCCTCCCACTGGGGATCGAGCGGGCAACCTAGGCATGTGCCCTGACCGGGAATCGAACCGTGACCTCTTGGTGCATACGATGATGCTCAATCCACTGAGCCACACCCCTGGGCTACAGAAATATATCCTATGTACATTTAATAGACGATCAAAAATTCTGCTTCAGCCCGGCCGGGCGTGGTTCAGCGGTTGAGCATCAACCTAGGATCCACGAGATGGGGGTTCAATTCCCGGTCAGGGCACATGCCCGGGTTGTGGGCTAGGCAGCTGATCAATGACTCATCATTGCTGTTTCTATCTCTCTCTCTCCCTCTCCTTTCCTCTCTGAAATCAATAAAGATATATTTAAAAAAAGAAAAAATTCTGCTTCAGGAACACATAGTTCATAATCCATATTGGCAGCTTTTCCCAAAATTATTTAATAAACATTTACAGAGAACATGTGCAGACAATTGATCCTGCCCTCTATTACTATAAGTCCACCTCATCATTTCACAAATAATTTCTACCATCTAGTGTATGTTTTTCATATCACAGAAACCCTGTAAGTGGTCTCATTTTAAAACAAAACCAATCCTGAGAAGTGGATTTTATTCCATCATTAGAGGCAAGGAAACAGCTGGCTAGCTCAGTGGCTTTTAAACTTTTGGCTTCAGAAACCCATTCATAGTCTTAAAACTTAGAGGTCCCCAAAAAACTTTTGTTTATGTAGGTTGTATCAATCAGTATTTTCCATATTATAAATTAAAATGGACCGTTTTTTTAAAATTCACTTTTAGCCCGACCAGGCGTGGCTCAGAGGTTGAGCGTTGACCTAGGATCCTGGCGATCAGGGTTCGATTCCCGGTCAGGGCACATGCCCAGGTTGCGGGCTCGATCAATGACTCTCTCATCATTGATGTTTCTATCTCTCTCTCTCCCTCTCCTTTCCTCTCTCTGAAATCAATAAAGATNACTCTCTCATCATTGATATTTCTATCTCTCTCTCTCTCCCTCTCCTTTCCTCTCTGAAATCAATAAAGATATATTTTTTAAAAATTAAAATAAAATAAAATTCACTTTTAAGATCAATAACTCATTAAATAGTAACATATACATATTTTTAATGAAAAACAAACTGTTTTCCAAAACAAAACAAATTTAATGAGAAGATTGGCACTGTTTTACATTTTTGCAAATCTCTTTTATATCTGGCTAAATATAATACAGCTGGCCTCGCATACCCTACCTCTGCATTCAATCTGTTGGGACAGACTGATTAAAGTATATGAAGAAAATCCAGCTTTACACAGATATGTGTTACAAAAAGAAGTATTTTAATTACCTTTACAGATAACGGTCCATATTCTGTTTTTAATATATCGAAACTTGAAAAATGGTCTTATCATACTCACATAGATTGGTGTAACACTTTGAGTGGACAACATACTAGTCCACTAAAATGACATTTCATTACACATCATCAAAAAACCATATTAATATGTTAATATTACCACTCATCTCATCAGAAAAGTCTTTAAGTATTAGAAGCTGTTAGCCTCATAGTGGTGGATTCAAGTTTTCATTTGAAAACTCAAATTCTGATGTTGGCAAAAATACTGTGAAATGTGTTCCCTGAAGTGACTGACTCATTTCCTTCACTTTTGCAAAAATGACTGCCAATACCCACAGTTGGCCATTCATTCTCTCAAGTAAAAATGGCATTCCATAAAAAAAGAGGCTACTTAGCTCGTTATGTAAAGAACTACACAAGAGCTTTTCCTTGAGCAAGCCATCTTTCTTTGGTACGCAGATGTGCTTTATGCAGACTTCCTAGTTCATCACATTCAAAAGAAGTATCTACTCAGGGCTGAGAGTTAAAAAGAATATCACTGCTTCATCAAGGACAATCTTAAATGATAGAGGCATTTTACTTCACTGTGCATGCATGCTGTTACAGAAGACAATGACAACCAGCATAAGTCTGGTGCTACTCCCTTGATTTATGGTGAGACACCAGCGGTTTTACCCTCAATTGTATTTGTAACACCTTAGGGACCCCTCAAGGATCCACAGGCCACAGGTAAAGAACTTATGAGCTAGCTGAAGAGGCTTCTTAAACAGCCAGTATATAGCCAAGTCAGGACTTAAAATCAAGCTCTGTCTGACAATGAAGTCTACCATCTCCTCACTAGATTACGCTGCTTCAATGCTTCTCAGGACAACAGTCGGCCATTTGTATCTGCAGATCCAGATTCCATATTGCGGACTCACCCCCATTCAAGCAACAGCATATCAGAAATATTGGGGATGAGGGGCAGAGGGGGAATGTTATGTTCCTGCTGACATGTACCATGTAGTTAGGCCCACAATGATTGTGTCTGTACTGAACATGTAGAAACTTTTTTTTTCTTGTCATTATTCCTTAAACTACAGGTGTCCCAAAAAAAATGTACACACACTTTAACAGCTGATATCTCAATTTTGAAAATAAAATGTATTTTAATAAAGACTGCCTTTATAATTACTCAAAGTGTGTGTATACTTTTTTTGGGACACCGTACATTTACATAGCATTTACGTTGTATTAGGTATTATAAGTAATTTGGATTTAAAGTATATGGGGGGATGTGCATAGGTTATATGCAAATACTATGCCATTTTATATAAGGGACTTGAGCATTCCAGGATTTTGGTATCTGTGGGAGGTCCTGGAGCCAATCTCCTGAGGATACCGAGGGACAGCTGTATATGCTCGCCAGCATGTTTATTTATACTCATAACCCAATCCTGCAATTCCAGAACTGGCCCAAGGGAAAGACAACTGTACAAGTCCTAAAGGACACATCTTACATTTAGTTTATTCAGTCAGCAGACGGTGAGACGCTCCGCAAGTCCCATGCTTTTGATTAGCAATTGTTTTAAAGGGTCAAGTACAAGAGAAACAATGTTCACAGTTTCATGGTAGTTTTAAATTAACATGGGCTACTAGGTACGCAAATGAGTTTCAGATCTCTGCTCTGTCCCTTAATAGCTGAGAGTGTTTGGGCTAATTCTTCAATCTTTTAGTCTCTGTTTCTTTCTCTACAAAATGACCCAATCTCATAGAACTGAAAAACTTTTACATGGAATATGCGAAAAAGCACTTTGTTAACCTCAAAACACAAGATAAATGTTAGCAAGAACTGTACATTTGGATAAAAGTATATGTAATATAGAAATACAATTTTATGATTTTAATTTTCGTAATTCGAAGTTGCTCTAACTTCCTGACTTTTGATCATGGCTGTAATTCATATATTGAAAAGTTCTTGATAATCCCTCAATTTTAATGTTATAATTAGAGGGAAACATTGCTTAGTTTATTCCAGCTTTTAGAAATATGTTAAAAAACTGCTTATATTAATATCCTTTATGTTAGCAAAATACAAGTTATATTATACTTTTGGAGAGAAGTTACAAGGAAATTTTAAGAAATCCACTCCTAAAATCTACTAAGAGATCACAAATGGCATAATGGGGTCTCTATTTAGAAGCTGAGAACATGCAGATGTCAGATTTATTATAATCTCAACCATTCAGAGAACAGATTGAAAAGCCAAAAAGAAGAGCCATCTAAGTAGTCAAAATAGGACTTTAATCACTGAGCAGCCAGCAGCCCCCAACCACAACCTATTTATCCACATTTCTGTTCCTTTAGGCAGACATACAGGTAAGGCAGGGAAATTGCACAAAAGAGAGTAAAGTCCTGTTAGCATTCATAAATACTATATTGTTCACAATGTGTATCTCTTTTGTAGCCCTAACTCCATTGTGTGCATACAGCAGGCTATGAGTGTTCAGTTCACCTTTCATTTCCCTATTTAAAAAAAAACTATAAACACACAGGTTTCCAACTAGGCTAAACACTGACATTAAGCATCTAAAGATGATGTGTGCCCCTCTTACCTTGAAAGTCTTAAAAACAAACAAAAACCCAGCAGATGAAAAAAATAAATGAACTAAATCTCTCTCATCCCATTCTAACAGTGACTTGCTGTGAAATCATGCACCAACAATCTTCTTTCTGAATCTTTGCTATTCTCATTTTCACTAAAGAAATTATAAATTTTCAACAAAATATGACAGGAGTAAATAGAATGAATAGAAAATTAGCGCCTAAAAAACCAAAGCATCTCCTATTAATCACAGTAACTATGAGTAGTCCACATTTGTGTTTTGTATCTCCCCCTCTCCACAGAACAATAGTGCTGCATTTTATTTGCTTTGCAGGTATAATTTCAACAAACTCCATATACAATTTGACCACTGCTTTTATTCACTATAACAGTAGTCATGTCATTCTAGCCAACCACCAACTGTTGTTTGTTCATTTGTTTTTGTTTTTTGCAGCACAAGTGGAAACACACATGTACTATGGACAGTACAAAGCTCAAAATCTGCTTATGAAATTTTACCTGTCCGTGTATGTCTCCACACACTGTTACTGGTGTCGATACTGGCTGAACATTTGACTCTTCCAAGAGGAGGTCACAAACATAGTCACATAGCCGCTGTAAGAAGAAAAGATAAAATGCAACCTTTTACTACAATATTAAAACTAAGGATCACATGACAAAAAGACAAGAACTAATACTTATATTGTTTGATAGGAAAGGAAACTGCTCTTTGATGATTCTGGGATTATGTTTACAGTAATTAGCTCCCAAAGTTTACAACCTACTATTTGCATTTTTTTAAACCCTAACTCACTTCCATGTAGCTTAAGGTTGGTTCCAAAAAACAAATATGCCATGTTTGGCCTGTTTTGTTTTTTTAATAGTCTTTCATTACCACCGTCTTTCTTCCCATTTTGCCAGAATAAAGAGTACTACTCTTTTTAGGTTAGCTTCAGAGAGTAGCAATTAATACTTTAAAAATGTTTTTTCTGCTACTGTACAATTTATAAAACAATACAGTGATGTTTTAAAGTACCTATCTCAGGACATTACCCACCTTTCTTAGGTATAATGCCTTGCTCTAATAATATTTGCAATATTTTTTCAGGTAAACTCACCAAACCTCCTCAAAGAGAATTCCACCAAAAGTATCTGTATGAGTTTGCTGTAATTTGTACAAGAGTGGACACTTTTCTGTTTGTTGCCATGAGGCCTGCATGCTGTCAGGCACTTGTTCCATCCACACTCCCTTTCAGATTTCACATCTTTTAAAAAGAGCCCTCACCTCCATCAGTGAAGCTCAGAACCCATACCATGAATACAATTTAAATGTTTCCCCCAACACATCCTTGGACACAAGCCACCAAAGAAGTTCATCTCTCACTCTTCTTTCCGTAATGCATCTCTGGGAGAGAAAAGTTCTCTATATCCTACAGTGTTGATCTTTCTATTTGCTTACCTCAGGAAACTGTTGGTTACTTGTAAATTTGAGGGCACCACTGTTTACACTCCTTTAAAGATAAATTATTAAAATGTTACCCAAACAAACCTACTATAAACCCACCCTGAATTAGGTCAGATTGTCCTCTAAAGAGGCCTGTCCCCACCCTGCATTATACTGCCCTCCTTTTCCAACTTGCACTTTACTGTCATGCCATCAGCATGCAGTAAGGGACGCTGTAGGAAACAGTCCTCTATAGAGCTTGTCACTGTACAGACTATAAATAAACGAAGTACATAAGATGCTGTGATTAAACAGTTGCCTTCAAGGAAGACTCAGGGAAAGAATGTCTTTAACAAGGATCAATGTGATTTCCCTGAGAAGCCTGTTTTTATCATCTTATAGACTCTGTGACTATTTCAACTGATCAGTTCCCATCTTCCAGTAGGCTCCTAGAAAGCTTAGGGACTAAGGTCAAAGAAGTAACCTGATCATCACAGCTTTTATTTTATATATATTCTTACTTTTACTTCTGGCTTCATCTCGGTTTCCTATATTTTCTCTTTGTCTCATTTTTCTTACTTATTCTTAGTACAATTTATCTTGCTATATTGAATGCATCTTTGTAAACCACTCTGTATCCTTTTGGAAGGGAGTGATCATTTAATTAACATTTTAAAATTAATCACAGCAGATTCCTGAGGGACTCTCCATGGTTCCCATATTTGAATGTGCCAGAATTTGCACCCAAATATGACTGGCTCTTCTAGCCCATAATGCTTCTTGAACTGCAAGGAGACTAGCCCATACCCCCAGTAATGATCTGAAAGTAACAGTAGACTATAAAGAACATCACTGTGAAACCCTGCCAATCTCAAAGGCCAGTGAGTGTCTGGAGAGCACATGTAAACTACTCAGGCAGCATCTTTAACCTGAGGCCAAGCACACTAACTTGAGTAAAGTAACAGCTGCCTTCTGTAACTGCCACTTCTGCAGTCCCAACTGAGGATTTAGAGTTAAGTCTCTAAGCCAAAGCCATTGCTTCTCATGTCTCCAGTTCAGCAGTAGCTTACAATTTCATATCAATCACACACAAAAATAAAGTCTATGAAACCTACATATGTCAGCCAACCATCCACACAGTAGCCTCACAGAGCCCAGTCTTGCCATGGGAAAAGCTCCTCCAAAGCCCTTCACAGCTTTGTTCTGCTGCTTAGTTTGTAGGAAGTGTGGTTACTGTTACTGCTCTGAACAGGCACTAAGCAAAATTCTTAATCTTATCTCAAATTTAGGGCAAACTTTACCCATCTCTCCTCATGATGCCCAATTAATTCTTAATCCTTGAACAAGTTGGAGTTCATGGCCCCCATTCTTAATGGACTCTATTTCCTTTGTCTACCTTTTCCTCAAGATACATGTTCACAGTTCCATTCTATTCTCTGGCCCTGTCTCCCTGCTCCCTCTTATCCCTCAAATACACTGGATTTTAAATTCTCAACCACATCACTACTACTGATAATTCTTTGTTGTGGGGGTCTACTATCCAGTGCATTATAGGATGTTTAGCAATATCTCAGGCTTCTGTACCCACTAGATACCAACAGTAACGCCCCCCACCCCAGCTATGACAAACAAAAACGTCTTCATGCCTTGTCAAATATCCTCTTGAATGCAAATCACCCCCAGTTAAGAACTACTGGTCTAGACCTTTGTCCTGAGTGTAATACTACTAGGACAGTGCCTGGAGCACATAGGGCAATCAATAAAATATCTGTTAACAGTATCCAAGTCTTCTGAACATCTCTACCTCAATGTATTTTTTATTTTTAGATATGTTTTTATTGATTTCAAAGAGAGAGGAAGGGAGAAGGAGAGTGAAACATCAATGAGAGAGAAACATTGATTGGCTGCCTCCTGCACGCCCCCTACTGGGGATCGGGCCTGCAACCTGGGTGTGTGTCCTGACAGGGAATCGAACCAGTGGTCTCTCAGTGCATGGGACATCGCTCAACCAACTGAGCCATGCCAGCGAGGGCTCTACCTCAATGTCTTGACTTGGCAGCATCTCAAATCTAGTATGCCAAAACCAAACTCCCTTGCATTCCTTAATCTAGTTATAGTATTTACTAAGTAATCCATGCCAGAAACTAAGAGATTACACTATAATTTTCCCTCTCTCTCATCACCTAGACCTACCCTGTCAACAGGTCGTATTATACTTCAAGTTCTCATGTCACTGGTCTATTGCTTCTATGACATTCCTGTCTCATTCCAATTCATAGTCCACAATGTTGACATAATATTTCTAAAACCTACTGTCACATCCTTAAAAATCTCTCTGTTGTAAAGCAGTATACAGTTTGATTCAACAAACATTAACTGATTATCACATACACTTTGCTATCACACAAGAGAGAATACTACAAGTGGTAAAAGACTAAAAGTGCTATAGGGAAAAGGTTAGTATAGAAAAGAATGAATGGGAATTTTTAACAGCAAATAAATTCAGGCATGTACTCTGCTGAGTCACTGAGGCAAAAATGACTTAAATCTTATCCATTCCTGGCTTTGGTATCTGCTCTGCCTATTACAAGGACTGTATAAATGACAGAATGGACATGAAGGTGCTCAGAAAACTATAAGTAGCTATGAAAATTCTAATCATTGCTAGTAATTCTGACTACAGAATCCAGGGCCCCTAACAAGGAGAAAGTGGCAGCTGAGCTAAAGCTCAAAAGAGGCATGGAATGTATTGCATAAAGAAAGCACAAGTGATAGTTAAGGATGTGAACCCTGGAGCCAGACTTGCCTAGGTTTGAATCCCAGCTCCTCCACTTACTTACTAGTTTTATGACTTTGGAAAGTTACTTAACCTGTCTATGCTTCAGTTACCTACTTGTAAAATGGGGCAAATATTAGAACCCAACTCAGAGAGTATTAAATAATTTAATATTTGTGCTATGTACATATTAAATAGGTGAAAGAAACAGACTGAAAAGCAGCAAGGAAGTACAGGGCATGCTGTCAGAAGACAGCAATCCAATGTGCTTAGAATGGAAGGTAAAAAAAAAAAAAAAGGCGAAGTGGAAGACATACTTAGAAAAGCAAGTTATCTGCCATCCTAAAAAGATTATTAACTATATCAGAAAGAGCTCTGCACAAGGAGGCTTTCCAACATAACTCATGGATTAGCTGGACATCCTCAGGCAGATCATAAACTCTACAAAGCTGTAAAATGAGAAGGGTACATAACTAGATTAACTCTGATTCTCTCTCAGCTCTGCAATTCTAGGAAATGGGCTGGGGAATTGTTAAAGGTGTGCACTGTCCCATTCTATACCTACAGCCACATGTAGCTATTGAGCACCTGGAATGTGACTGGTCTGAATCGGGATACATCATAAATGTAAAATATACATCATATTTCATAGATTTAGTACAAAAAAAAGGGAAAATATTACATTAGTAATTTTATACTAATTACATCTTGAAATTAGGTTAAATATTACTAAAATTAACTCCAACTGTTTCTTTTTTACTTTTTTAAAAATGTATTTTGCAGCTCACATTTCTGAGCATTTTATTTCTGCTGGACAGCACTGTTACAGACTATTTTCGGAATATGCAAGATAACGTGATTCTGTGGCCAAAGTGGCAAACAAAATGTAAGGCATTATCAGAAAGAGTCTTGAAAACACTCTTCCGGCCCCATACAAAGCCATGGTGTGTGCCTAAGTCCTGTACTATGTTAAGTTTTCCTTGCATTACCTGAAGAAAGATACAGTGCAAAACCAAACAACTCAGGTAAACAGAATGATCAGTAAGACAGGGAGTAAGGTGAGTGGTAAGTATGTATGGAAGGATATAAGTATGGAAAGATAAAGACTACAACATTTGATAACAATCTAGAAAATCAGATAGAGGATGAATGAGAAGATACGAAAAGTTGTTCAACAAATATAGGAAAAAAAGGAGAATTCCTTGAAGCTTTATGGAGGCATTTCAGATAGATGTACAACTTTGCAGAGCAGGTAGCCTTATACAAAAAACTCAAATGGCTCAGACTAAACATAAAAGTGAGTTCTACAAAGATTACATTAACTATTAATCTGTAAGAGTGGCTACTATGGAATTACACAATTCTTTGTGTTGCATCTCTGCGATAGACACTAGTATTCTCCCAATCCCTACCATGGTAGTAACTGTCTTCAGTTTCTCGGTAAAAAAAAAAAAACTGAATAGTAACTGCATGTGCAATTTCTCTGCTTACATGTCACCTTTAAGAATCATCCAAGAGATCAGACAATCTTCAAGTTACAGAACCCATTACCCACCTAAGTACTTAAGTATAAATATTAAATAAACCTGCCTTTTATCATTCATTCTTCTACTTGGCCAGATGTGCAATCTGTATCTTTGATGCTCAGCTCTGAAATCTTTATTGTGGATGAGAATCACATGACCTCTTTTTAAAGAAAGGTTACTTTGGTCCACTGGCTTCCATATTTCAAACTTATACCTTCAAAACAGTTATACAGATTTGATCCAGTACTAGTGATTTGACCACTTCCAATTTAGGTATAGAAAAATCAAAATTAGATCTAGAACATCTTATGCATTTATTATTTTATTTAGTACCTCCAACTTCTAGTCAGTTTAAAACACAATGAATTTGTCTTTTCTACCAGAACAAATCTTTTCCATATGATCATTAAGTGGCACCAATGATTACTTTTCTTCCTCTGACAGAATCTTTTACTTTGGCCTTAAAGTCTCTGAAAAGGTGCTCCTGGAATACTTTCTTGGCCTGCCTAATTTTAGTTTGCACTTCATGCCAAGAAGTAAAAACAAAATTAAATTTCTTTAAATACACTAGAGAGGAGCAAATTAAATCACAAGCAAATTAGTCTGATAAAAACATTTCCAAAACCAACCAAAAAAAGCCTCCGCTTAAAAGAAAAGTTCATAATTTTCCCCAGTAGTTGCCCAGAGATTAAAAAACAAGTTTCTTAAGAAACAGAGATATGCCAAATATAGTCCAGTTGTACTGCAAGGGGAAAAGAAATGCTTTAATAACATTTCCTTGTGGTGGGAAGGAAATCTAATATTTATCAAACTAAGAGGTCTAAAGAAAAATCCAAATCCAAATTTTGATTATCATCCAAATCATTTCAATATCCAATTTCAAGTTAATATCAACATACACTTTCATAATAAACAACATTTTACTAATTATAAACACAAAGCTTAAAACAGCTTTACATAGGCTAAAGAACAGAAAATTTCATCTCAATTCGCTGATACGCAAAAACCCACTTCACCCATGGGATGAACAATGCTACCAAAAGATGTCTGGTTAGTTTTCCATGAACTGGGTACCAAGGTTGCTTGTATTTTTGTTTCCTAAAAAAGCATCTAGCAGAAAGAAGCCATAAAGGAATCAGATGAGCATAAAAGCTACATTTCTACTAATATTGGCTTTGTTCTCACTTTAATTAAAGTACCCTATTAAGAAGAAGAAAATACACAAGAATGACTCCCCTATAATACAGCACACATGCTTTACCTATAAGTACAAATAAGTTACGTCCACAACAGCTCCTTTGGCTTTCAATATTTTGCATACTTGTTGACTGTCCTTAAATATCAACTTCCTGTACCAAAAGAGAGAGCAAAAGAAAAAACGAGTAGCATCTTAAGAAAAAAAATTCACAAAGCTAAATTGCTTCAAACCCACAGCTTAAAAAATAAAAAGAACTCAGAAGCTATTGACAGTTTACTTACCACAGAGCAAGTCAAAGTTAAGTGAACAAATAAAACAGACAGTAGCACTACCTGTTAAACACCGCTAGACACCTAAGCACTGGTTTAACAAACGCATAGAAAGACTTGCCAAAGGCTTACATTCATTCCTTTAGCCACACAGACATTTACTGTGACTTGGACTCGGCAGTAACAAAAAACAATTCTACCTCCTATAGAAAACCAAGAAAATGCAAGCCTGAGCTAACAACTTAAAAGAATAGAAAAGTATTTGTATTTACTGAGGGACCACTAAATTATCCACATAAGTTAGCTCAACGGCGTCCACGAAAACGGGATGCACATTTGAATCAGCAGGAGAAAACCCACACTCCTGAAAAGCAACTGGGAGGAGTGGCAGGGAAAGAGGGACGCCCTGCCGTTCTCCTACGTCCCGACCAAGCGGCTCTGGCCCACCGTCTGCCCAGTCCTCGGGAACCTAAACACATTGGGTCGCGTCCCGGGGCCGGAGACATCTGTCAGACGCCGGCCACCCCGCGCTCCTGTCACCACCTCGGGAGGGATGACCCCATCTTGAGGGCAGCGCGCGCCGGGGCTCGGTTCCGACTCCGGGAGACTGGAGACGGGGTTAGGAGAGAGGAGTCTTCTTTGCACGGCAGCTGGGGCTCGGAGCCCGCAGGCAGCCCGAAGGCCGGGGGAGGGGGGGCAACCCTGGGGAGGAGGCCGCGACATCCCTCGGGATACCCGCTACGGAACCGGGACAGCACTCGGGGGACCCCGGCTCTTCCGGCTCCCCCAAACCGGCCCGGGTCGCTCAGCACCGCGTCAGGCCCGTCACCAAGCCGGGACGAGATGCTGGCGGGGGTCTCGGTAGAGA